CAAACATGGTATCTGGGCATTCAGATACCACGGTTTCTGCAGCTCCTTCAGTCCGCTCCTGATAGAATACAGACATTATCCATACCTCCTTCAAATAGCGGGATACAAAGAAACTGCAATGCCATTCAGCCTCTTAAAAAGTAATAATATGGTATGCAGTGAGAGTTCCTGTGTTGTTTCTTGCAGCTGGTAGCGCTGCAGAGCTGGGTGAAGGGCTCCCTCAAGAACTTGTCATGCAAATGCCAAAAATCTTAGTGTTTGTAATTCCTGACATATTTAGATGAAAGGCGCTACAGAGCTTTCAAGTCAAATATTTTAATTAAACTTGAACATACATATGCAAGCAGAAACAAGTACAAACATTAAGCAAAGTTGGTTGATAAGGTTACATTATCAAACAAGAATCATCTCAATCAGTATCTTTTTCCGTATTTAGAACTCCATATTTGTCTCTTGCACTTCTCAGTTACTCTAAATATGTATAAAGTTGTCTATCTTCCATTCCAATTCTCTTTCTTTTTACAATCCGAGGACATTTTTTGTGACAGGCTTTTCAAACAAAAAGAACTTGCCAAATCTTCAAGCTTTTCAGATGAAGCTTCATCTCAGGTTTTCAGGAATTATGATCACTAATAAGATACTGCTTCTAATCCAACAGGGAACACTGAGATTTTTATGTATTTTAATATATATGTATTTATGAAAAAAGCTCATTGTGCAGCTTTCCACAGAGACAAAGATTGGTGTGTTCTTGGTGTAGCATAAGAGCCAGCATTTTCAGGCCTTTGGGACAGACACACATCTCTTTGAGCATGGCAGACCATTTTCTGGCTAGAGAGAAATCACCCAACAACAATATAAGATGACTCAATGATACAGAGATTTTAAGATATTACCATTTCCCACAGAACCTCCAACTAAATGAAAAAAACATGTTCAGCACATATTTCATATGATCTTAAGATATTTAAGGTTGTAGCTGGCAGAAATCTGTTCTTCCAGGACTAAAGACACTTCTAATATATTGGCTTAAGGAATTCAATTGCACTTGGTACTGGAACTATTTACCCACAGACTGATCAAAGAGCCCAAATGAGACCACCACAAACAGCCAAGGTGTTACAAAACATGCCCCATCAAGAGGGAGTGAAGGACGCGAGTGCTCAGAAACAGCTAAGAGAGCTTTAAACAGAGACAGCGACAAAGAGGGATATAAATTCTTTCCTATGTCTCTTGAAGTATAATACAATTAGTCATAGATTCAAAATTGCAGCAAGAAAATGTGGTTTGGTCACTAAGAAAATTCTCCTAAATGTACAGGTTAAGACACCAGAATAGATGGCCAAAGAAATCTCCAATAATGAGACTGCAGAAAAAGGTTGGTCAAATCTGTCAGGAATGCTACAGAGTTCATCCTCCCTTCAAGACCGAATAAATTATTTCTACGGCCCTTTCACCCCTATTTTCTACAATTTTCTGATCATGTTTTAAAGTGATTTATTAGGGTGTTTCTTCCCAACAAACAACACTCTACAATCTCACTGAGTTTATTATTACGTGTCTTTAGAATTAAATTCAGGCTCCTCACCACTCCAGGCAAATCTCAGATGTTTTCTTAGTAAAATATACAAGTATGAATACTCAGCAAATATGCTAAACTCCTATATCTGGAAAGGACAGCTCTGAAGAAATGCCACACAAACCATAAAGCACACTGGATCCATCAGAAGATATTTGGGCCTCCATGAAAAAAAACACCCCAAAATCAAAGTTCATTTGCTAAGCACTAAGCAGTGTCTCATTTTCCAGGAATATAACATTTAAAGGAGTAATTAAAATGGAAACTATTTACTGTATTTCCATTCCTGCATAAATTACACGAGTATCAGAAAGGGATGGGCATACCAGTATTAGGGGAGGAGGCAGGTGGCGGATTTGTTTAAAAAAAGCAGCAACAGACAAAATCATTAATGACAGTACCTAACACGTGTCACGTTGATATGCAGGCTTAGTCTGACATACAGGAAATGCTGAATCATTTTCTACTTCCCTTTTCTTTAAGTATAAGAAGCCATAAATTAAGGCATCTTATGCATCAGATAAAGTGGACAAATTAAAATATTTGTTGGAATTTAAGTAGTAATTCTTACAATTCCATAAAAATACTTGAAAAGCAAGATCCTCTCAAGACAGAATATTGTGGAAACACATGAAAGGCCATTTTACCTTCTTAAGTAACAAGGGATAGTTCTACCTGGAGGTCAGAGATCCTCGGTAGTACTGCAGTGCCCAGCAACACAAATAAACACAGTTAGAAGCTTAGACTGGGAAAGATACTGCCCTCAAGGGAAGAAATAATTCTCTTCTGACAGTATTTGTATACCATAAATCTCACCAATACACCAAGTACATCTCCTTAACTGTTAAACAAAAAAACATCACCAGCAATGCAACAACATTTAATCCTGTTCTACAGATGGTCCTACTAAATCTAGAACAGTCCTTGCTACCAGCTCCTGTTTTAGGAGCTCAATTTGCTCTAGACAGAGTTAGTACGGGTCTGGCCTCAATCAGCTTCTTCAACTGACAGCTCTACTATCGTGCTGTACCATGGCTAGCAGGCTGAAAGAGAAGGGACTTTCCATGTCTTTACCAACATGACTCAAGAGAGTTTCAAAAAGGAATGTGCATTGTGTTTAACTGCAAGCCATCTCACTCGTACCCGGGTATTCAAAACACCTCTGCGCAAAAGAGCTCTAGAAAGGAAGAAGGGTACAAGTGATCAGGCTGAGAGAAACGGCAGGGCTGCTTAACTGCAGGATCAAGTCAGAGCACATAGGTAAGAGATACCAGCCATCCCGTTGGCCAAAGTCAGGGAATTAGAGGAAGCACTATTACATGCTAAGGAGAATGGCTAGGAAAAATGAGATTTGGCTTTTGCTTTATATTTAGGGTTGAGGCAAAAGTTGTGAAAATAAATAAAGCATGTGGCAGGACTAAACACTAGAAATGAAAACTAAATGTGATTTGTGATCTTTATAGTATTCAGAGTCTACGCAGCTTTTAATCCTTCTTTAAAATCCTGTCAAAATAGACAAGTCTGGCCACCGTGCTGCTCAATTTTTTCTTTTTCCTTGTGTGGTCAAAGAAACAAAGTCATAGATTCAGCTTGTCACTAACTGATTAAAAATTAATCAACTATCTTGATCAGTGTTAAACAGCTAATTGCAACGGTTGCTTTTATTCTTCCACAGTTGGAAGGAAAACTTAAAATCTCCATGGCAATATGAAAAAAGTAACAAAGACTACATGGAGAGAACCTGCTCCTTGCTAAAACCTTGGTATCTGAAAGTTAAGACAGACAGAGCAAATCTGCTTCTGTATACAATGAAAGAGGGGTTACACATGCATTTAATGAAGCTAATTGCTCTTCCTTACCATGAGACTTATCTGAAACAAATAATTTATGATTTTCTGAAATAGAGCATTATGATAAAAACTATTTCATTAAGAATTCTAGTTTGGGCACTGATAACCATTTGTTATGAAGAGCTGTATACAGTGGTGACTGGCACTGTTTTGTTTCACCATGTAATAAAATGTTGTGCATGACTGCTTTATTCAATTATTCATGAATAACAAACCTGTCATACCTCTTGCAGGCCACTGGGATTCCTGCAGACTTATTTATAAATAAGTATTTTTAGCCCAACAGAAGCAATTTCTTTCAACTTCTTGTACTTTATTCTTCTGTACTGAAGTTACCATATCTGAGGAATTAAGACATCCTCCAAAGTCAGGTTGTTGTCAGCTCTATTTAGTCAATAACATCCTTTATGTTAATATTGTGAAAGACCACATGGTCATTATGCAATTCACAATTTTAAGTGTATTTAAGTTTTATGAGCTGTAGAAAAACATTCACAAAGTAGTTAAGACTTCGGCTTTTCGACTTCCTCTCCATTTCTACAGAGTAAAGCCTAGCCTCCAAGGCCTTGTTCAGTCCCTGTTACCACACTGTTCACTTCATTACAGATTACAGCAGTTCTGCAAGTTTCCCTAATTAACGCTCTGAATAATTTAAGAAGCATTTTTCCAAAAAAACCACCTCCAGTGTACCACAGCATTAAACCACATCACATCCTTCTTTCCTCCTCAGCATAAACCCAAGGACAGATTTCACACTGACAACACCATCTTGCTATGTCCCCTCATCTCAGTTTCTTCAGAGCCCTAACAAATTAACTTGTCTTTTCACTAAGACAGAAGAAATTTGGTCAAGATACTTTCTAACCAAAGCCCCAGATCTTAAATATGCACACTGCCATCAAGACCAGCATTGTGTGTCCCCCACAACACCGGTGCTCAAGGGACGCTCTGCAGATAATAGACCCCTCATCAAAAGATAAGGAAATCTCATTTAGATGCAGAAGTGAAATGGTAACGTTTGAAACCCAGTCTCTAACAGAAAACATCCCCCTCCAATATACTGCTTAAGTTAGTTTCACAACACACTTCCCAAGAAAAAAAACAATCTTCCCTTGAGCACAGAAACCACACTAACATCACCACCTGCACACAACTAAATTAGGTGGCTTCAATTACCAAATAAGCAGAGCCTAGCTTCTTAACCGACCCTTAAAAGCAGCCATCCAAGTCCTTTTCTCTAATTATTGGAACTACTAACTGTAAGCAAAAGGAGCTCAGTTGAGGAGTCTTTCAGACTCAAGTTACAACGAACTTAAAAGAAAGGAGTATTATTTTCATGTGATTTCAGTGGTAACTGCCTGGCAGTAAAGCACTGCAGCAAATACCGATTTCTGAATAACTGCTAATAACTTACAGTTCTGAAAATATAAAATACGCATTATTAGGTCTGCTAAACCTGCTACTTCCCTCATCAGCTTAGGCCCATTTTTTATTTTGGAATTACACAGAATGAAACACACAAAAACAAACCATGACGACACACACACACAAGATGAGCCTTGGAAACTTACCCCTCCTGACAACTTAATCACCCTGACTTTGCTGCCGACATGGGGCCCATCTCCACTACCACTGTTTGTCCGCTGCATGACAGTCCTTTTCATGCCAGGTTTCAGTTCCTGGGGCCTTGCTTGTGCCGAAGCCACTCGAGCAGTCTGTGTCGTGGGCAGCGATGCTGCAGCAGGTTTTGTCTGTAATACTTTCTGCGGTGCCTGAGGCTGACTCGAAGGTACTGTCCTAGTCTGCCTCAGCTGCTTCACTGGCTTCATCTGCTGTCCTTGATACTGCATATTCGCCCCGACCTGTGGGAAATCTGTGGGTTTGGGTTGGATATTTGGAACTACCATATCTTGCTTTCTAACAAGGAGTCTGTTTTTCACATTTTGCCTGGTCTGTAAGCCAGAGTGGGGTATGTAGGGGCTGCCATTGGTGGGGAACTCAGAGGAGTCGTCTTCCTGCTGCATGTAGGACTGTTGCGTAGAAGGTTGTTGCTGCTGCTGCTGCTGCTGCGCAAGTCTTTCGAGTAATTCTCTCTTTCTAGCACCAGCCTGCTGTTGCCGTCTCAGCTCCTTTTGTTTCAGAATTTCTTCTCTTAGACGCTTCTGCTCTTCTATCTTCAAACGATACAATCTAGTTTCTTCATCTTCGTCTGGATACTACAAAGGAAAACACAAATGAATTTATAGAATTCTCAACAAATGCCCAGCTTGGTCAAAACAACATTAAATTGTTGGTTCAGATGTCATAAAGCTCTGAAGAGCTTTTTAAATTATCCCTGATACCAAACTAAGGCTATTAGTGGAGTATATCTGCTGGTAAGGTTTATTTGCTATTCATTACAGACAAACAGCTCAAATCTGGTTTAGGACTTAGATATACTACTTCCTAGCCGGGGGTGGGGGGGGAAAGAGCTTTAATACCAGTTGAGAAATCTTACCAGAATACTAAAAATAAAAAAATAAAGTTTTACAAATTGGAACTCATTTAGAAGTTTCTAAAACCAATTAAACTATTAATATAATTCAAGATATCAAAATATGTTTCAAGTGGAAAGTAACAATACAGAGGCAACCCACTGTCACACAGGTTTTATCTTGCTCTTTTCTGACAAAGTAACAAAAGGTAGGGTGGTAAATGACCTGAAAGGGCCCTGATTAGAACTATTGATTTTTCTCACAGAATTTTCAGCCTGATCTCAAACTCATTTGTCACACAATAATTGGTTATAATGAACAGCACAAGTCAATCTCTCTGACCTTGAACTCGTGCACTCTCTTCAGAATCAAAATGTTGCCAAATGCAGTGTTGGAATATTAATGGTACATAGAGAATGCCTTTAATATTCCAGCCCTGGGCCCCTCTGAAAGTATTACACACCATCAAATAACCTTTCTAAAGATTCTTCAACTTTGGCACAATGGGTTCTTATGAAAGGCTGTATGAAATGGGCAAAAGTCAAGGAAATGCAGATTCTCATCATCCTAGAAAAGGAATCAAATTGCTCTTGTGATACAATCACATGCATTTTTCAAAATTACAAAGCATACTATTTCATTATATTATTTTTTATTTTCCAACTGTTTGAAATACTAAGTTAAAGACCTGTAGAGACTGCTTACAGATGGTAATGAGCATAATATTCTACTCAAGATGTATTAATCACCCCTAACAAAAACGGGCTCTCAAAGTAACAATACTTTGCATTTTGGTAAATTACAGCATAAAGAATGCTAAAACATTTCTCAAATACTGGGAATCCATGATGAAGTTGTTTACCTTGCAATAACTGGGTGTAAGCTTTTGTCAACACAAATGCCATTTTTGCACACACAGGACCCAAACATGCAACATTTTTTTTTTTTTTTTTTTTTTAAATTCAAGTGCTTTTATCCCTGGTACATCCCAGAATCCTCCCCAACCCAAGGAAAAAACCAGCAGAACAGATCCAACCGTAAAGTTGGTTCACGGATATAAAAGCCCAGTAGAGTAGTATTTGCACTCATAGAATCCAGATGCACAAATCCTGAATGCTTGTTTCCTTCAGATATAACTGTACCTACTGATAGGGATTATTCCCACAGTGACTAAGAAATAGCTGCATGTCTCACACTCCAATTCCAGCCTAAACAATGGCTAAAATAAGACTTCAACAAAACTGGATTTTTTTTTTTTTTTTAAATATAGGCTATAATTCTGAGATGAGGTCTAACACTGTCCTTTTTAGGCAAATGCTTCATATAGCAAAGGGTTCTGATCTTCCTCTATACTTTTCAGACTACGATGGTGGTGATTAATGGCTAATCACTATAACAACTAGATTACAGGTCTTCATTGATAGATGGTAACAGGAACGTATTTCTACAAATTAAAATGGGCAGTAGTAGGAAACTCAAATATTTCATGTTAAATTGAAAACTGGAGATGCTGGATTATAGTAAAAGAAAAAAGAATAAGGCCCTTACAAAATACAGTAAAAGGGTAAGATCCTTAAATATAGTTTGCATAGGATGACAAAATAGAGATAAGCTCCAGATAGGAGGAAGATGTGTTGTTATGCAGATCCTGATGCAACGAGTAAAATTTTCAGTTACTTTCAGAGACAGTAAATATCTCAATTACTGAATTTGTCCAAACACAAAACCTCTTCCACTGAACTTAACAGATTAGTTTATTCACTGTGCTTTAGATCAGAATATTCTACATTTTATCTGAACAGGTTTGATTGATGCCAGTGAGCCAGTACAAAATTTACCTTTGGAGGTAGCACTGTATTTTTTTTTCTTCTTTATGTTCAATTGATAGTGTCAATACCAGCAAGAATCTGCATGACACCAGTTCTTCTATCAGCTATCATTTATTATTAGGGACCTGTCCGCTCATATTATCACCTAACCAGTTCTGAAGGCCTTGGAAGATGTAGATCCCGACCCAGTAAGTACAAAACACTAAGTCAAAAGACTACATATAGCAGCACAGAAATGTGTACTTTGTGGCATGCTTAAATGAGTCTTGCCAGCAGGCAAGGAATGAACATCCTGAGGGACTCTGACCAATACGTCTGTGCAGCACGGACAGATACACCGATTTCAACTACACTAGCTTTAAACACAGAAGACAGCTGACAAACTACCAAGACATATGAAGTTAGAAGCATGCTTAGTAGAATCTTCAGGCAACTTGATCTCAAATATAATCTGAAATTTTCTTTTCAGGAACTCAACTCAATACTTAGGAAATCAGTACGGATCCTATGAAGTCAATTCCTTCTTAAAGGGTAAGCTTTGAAATCAAGGTCCAAGAGCTCTGAGGCTATATGACAACTGCAGATCAGCCCACTGACAGGCTATAGGTAGACCTAAATCCTTCATCTTCATAAGTAACTGCTACTACTGTTAAGTTCTCAGTAAAATACCCTTGCAGCTAGAGTTAGACCAAACAATATAATGACACTGTGATCATTAACAAAATATTTGAATTAGGAGTCAGGTTTAATTGGAATTAGTTGTGCAATGACCCAACAGTACGGATTCAGAATGGGCAACAAACTCCTCACTAGGCTGAAAACAAGGGCAGTTAAATCCTCTGCTGCTTAGCTTTAAGAGCATGTTGTATATACTACACTATACTGTGTGTCTGTGTGTATATATATATATGACCTATAGTACATATAAATGACCTGTACTATGTAATAAGCAGCTTTATCATACAGAACAGGCAAGACAGTACATCGGGTCAAGATGGAAACAGCACGCAATGCCTATTGCTAATGATTTTCATCCCATTAGCTTAATAAGCCCAGTACAGATTTCTCCAACAAGCAGTAGGACTGCCAAAAACAACAAACCAAAACAAACACACACCCAAAAAACCCAAAAAACAAACAACCCCAAAAAAAGCTACTGGGAGAAAGTAGACATCCTTCAAAGATCTCACAAAGTTCACAGCTTGTGTTTGGAAGTTTCCTGCCAAAAGCAACATTATCTGTGGGTGAAGAAGCAGAAGAACTTGAAGCAGCTTTTTTCCTAGATAAACTCTTGACACTTCACCTTTTTCTGCAGAAAACACCACAACATGAAGAAACTATATTGTATACAGCTCCTCCTTTTACAGGAGGCTACCGAGTACAAGGCCGCAAATACAAAGCAATTCCCTTGGTTTTGTGGAAGGGTTTTTTTGTTGGGTTTGGGGGTGTGGGGGGTTGTTTTTGTTTGGTGGTGGTTGTTTTTTTAGGTTTGATGGGTTTTTTTTGTTTTTTTGAAGCGGTGATTCTCATCTGTCTTTGAACAGATCTTGAACACACCGTGTTTCATTGTAGTTTGAAAGGAAGACCAAGCCTTAGCTCTAGGTTTTCTTCTCCCTTAAGGTCCAAAGAGGCTTTCACGGAAAGTGCCGAAAGAAAATGTTCAGGCTGCTTTTCCAAGTCTAACTGAAGAGCAGCAGTAAGAGAAGCAGCAGTCCTACATCATTCTCCAGGAGAACTTGGAATGGCACTGTTGATCGAGGAAAAGGCAGCAAAGACATGCTCTAAAACATGCTCCAAAATTACAGTTTTCTACTGTAATTTAAGTCCTAGTATCAGTAGCTTGCTTCTCATACAGTGAATTAAAAAAACCCAACAAAAACAAACCCAACCCTTTTTAGAGGTCTGCAGGGTGTATTACTAGTTAATAGAATTAAATGCAGAGTCATAAGAATCAGATACTATAAGTGTTCTGGTTTGCTGTCAAGGAACAAAAAAGGAATCATGCAACCAGGCTCACTTGTGTCCCTCACTAGAATGGGTGCGAGGACAGAGCAATCAAAATGGTTTGATATGTGGCATACACATAAATCTATTCAGCAGGTTTATCTTTATTTTTTCAGCTGTAACATTAGAAGCAAAAGAGGCTAGAATCATTTGTCGAAAAATTCATGACAAGTCTTCATAAAAAGTAAGGCCAGATCCAAATTACATCATTTGGCTACTTGTGTTCAAAACCACAAAGTATCTTAAATAAAGACACCTATATACACATCACACATTTCACATTACTGATGACACCAGCTCCTGAACCCCAGGAAAGTATGAGTCACCCTACAAAACACAGGTGCCATGCATCTTGGACAAACAGGAAGAGAATTAAGAACAAGGTTACAAGTTACTTTGGGAAGCACACTGCCCTCTTGCGATCTTCCAACTGGAAAAATACTGTGGTAAGAAGAATTTTCTAAGCACAAGACAGGAGGCACCATTATCAAAATTTGGAAATCAAACCTATTTATACTAGAGAAAACTCAAATTTAGACATGTACAATTTTTCAGGTGGTTAATTTCCAAAAATATGAAAAGGATTTAGATACATTTGCTCCAACAGCAATGTAGCAACTATTTTCCATATTGCAAGTCTTTTTTAAAAAAGACAGCAACATAAAACCCAACCACCCAACTTCAAAATTTACTGGATTTGGGAGAATGGAACGTGAAGGTTTTCTTTCAGTACAGCAGGGACATTAACTGCAATGTAAGTAGTAATATCAGTACACCTATGATTATGCAGCACTCTAGTAATTTCTCTCCTGTTCTGAGCTCCAGTATGCATTTCTTCTAAAGAGATTCACATCACTTTTCTACATTCCCCCCCTTCTTTAAACTCAAAAATGCTTAATATTGCCTTAATTCCTCTTATCCTAAACTGACCTCAAGATGAGCACAATTAGGCCCACAGACATCACCCATACTTTCCAATTTCACTGACAAAATGATTTTTCAGACTGAGGATATGCAAGTTTAAATCTTGGAGAGTAACAGCTATTCTAAATGGACAAAGGCATTTAAAGTCAGTATCTTGCAGCCTCACAGGAACAGGAACACAAGCATACCATTAGTAAAGTAGAAATACAGTTTTTATCTTCTAGTCACTCAGGTTGCAAACCTTTCAAATATCTATTTTGAAGGTGAGCAAAACCTTTAATAGCCAATATTGTTATTTTCTTGATGCTTCCTGAATGATAGGGCATTCATAAATATGGCCACTGACTCTTCGGGAAGAAGGATGCAAAGAAAAAGTCTTAATAATTTTCCAGTTGAAGACACTTGCAAAATAACCTGCCCAATTCAGTTATGAGCAATACAGCTAGAAGAGATGACAGAACTTAACTCTTTCTCATCTTCATAGAAACCAAAAGAACAGGACAAAGTTAGCTAATTACAAGAAAAACACACAAAAAAGACTGGAAAACATTACAATCTGCTTAAGCAGAGAAATGTAATAATCTACATTACAACAATAGTGAAGAATATGATTAAATGCTTGGAAATGAACATTACTAGTGCAGCAATGCTGTTTGCAGAAGTGACAATAAATGGCACAGCTGAAAAGGGACAACTGCTACTACACCATTGTTTGCAGCACAAGGATCTATTTCAAGTCTGCTTTGAAAGGAGAAGGGTTCTGTGCATGCACACATTCACACACTTTTCTAGTACTTGCTAAGTGTATCTACAAAGGCTTTACTTTTATGGTTAATAATAGGAAACACTAGGAGACATCATTTTTTCCAAGGCAACTTTTTTTTTTATCCTGTTTTGCAAAAACTCACATGAAACAGATATCAAACTGTTTTCAAAGATAGCTTTGACACAGAAATAAGAAGAAAGCTTTATTTGTAAAACCAAGAACTCACACGAGTAAGATCAGTTAGTCTTATAACTACAGGTTTGTTAGGATACATTTAAAACTTAAAATAGAGAGAACAAGATGACTACTTTTTTTGGGGTTTGGGTTGTTTTTTTTTTTTTAATTAATTCATTTGATTAAGAGGATTGAAAATCTTCATTCATTTTTCTAAACACTGCCAGAGATACTTCAGAAGTAATGCCTTAATTTTCATATGACTAAACCATGAAAGAACTTTAAGATGTTTTAGATGGGGAGGCCTGTAGCTGATTTGCTTCAAAACTTACCTTACTAATGTCCTGAAAAGCAGAGGCTTCTCTAAGAGGCACTGCATTTTCTGTGATTTGGATTATTCCAAGAGACTGAATTGAAGGGGATTACTTAAGTCATTTTTTCAAAAAAGATCAAAATTAAAAGCTGAAAAGCTGAAATAAGGATTTTTTTTTTTTTTAATATTACCATTGAAAAGCAAGTGCACAGGAGGTCAAACACTGCTAGCTATGGGTTTCTTTTGTGCCTCATTTGTGAAAATTAGTTATGACCATCCCTAATTCAAGAACAAGATGAAAAAGCTAATCATGAGCAGCTTAAAGGGAAGACAGTATTATCACAATTGAAGCTTTCAACAGTTGTTGAAGAAAACCTGGTCTTTCAGACAAGATTCATGGTCAACTAAACTATATAGACTTACAGTTCTGCTCAGAATAACCTGACACTCAGAAATTATACAGGGTGCATTTAGCCATCATGTTCCTCTGGTATCTCCTGATGTTCAGGATTAACAGCACCATCAGTACAATCCTACACACTCTCTCAAACTAACAGTGCTCATGGAGAGTCTTCTCTAGCTTCCAGGAGGATCTGTGCAGGGAAACAGTCATCTGTTCACACTGCATGATCCAATGGAGCCCAAAACACTGGCATCTCATTTTTTGATTGCGCAGAGTACTAGCAGAGCAAACAGCATCATTTTCTCCAAAATGGAAAGCTTGCGAGCATCTCCTATTTTCCCTCCCGTCAAAAGGTTTAATAAAAGAGATGTTTTCCTCTTCAAGAGCAAGAAGCTCCATGGACGATGCAGCTGCAACCTCCTGCATGAGTGCTCAAGACCCTAGAGGAGACTGGGCAGCCTAAAGGAAAACAGCACGAGGAAGGCGGCTCTCTTAAATAGCCCTTTTTTTTTGAGCCGTAAAGCATCATGGGAAATGGAAGAGAAGAGGTTTGCTGACTCAGAAAGAAGTGATTACCTGAAGAAAAACCCCTGATCATAATCCTGGAAGACAAAAGTAGGCACAATAGGTATTTCAGAGGCTTGTATCACTGATGACCTTTACACAACCTCTGTGTTTTCATAGTAGGAATGACGACTCCTCCTGCAAAACAGACTCACCACAGCCCTGCCAACCTTCCAGACTTCTTTTTTTATCAATGGAGACTGGTTTTGCTATCACATTAAAGAGGAAAGTGCAACTCAGAAGGGAGGCCTCTAGTGGCACCAAAAATATTGGGTGAATAATACATTAAGTGTGCTTACAGTTCACAAGTCAGACTAGGAAAGTTTTGAAAAGGTGGGAGGTTTTTTTTTGTGATTTAAAAAATAGCCCTTTTTTTTTGAGCCGTAAAGCATCATGGGAAATGGAAGAGAAGAGGTTTGCTGACTCAGAAAGAAGTGATTACCTGAAGAAAAACCCCTGATCATAATCCTGGAAGACAAAAGTAGGCACAATAGGTATTTCAGAGGCTTGTATCACTGATGACCTTTACACAACCTCTGTGTTTTCATAGTAGGAATGACGACTCCTCCTGCAAAACAGACTCACCACAGCCCTGCCAACCTTCCAGACTTCTTTTTTTATCAATGGAGACTGGTTTTGCTATCACATTAAAGAGGAAAGTGCAACTCAGAAGGGAGGCCTCTAGTGGCACCAAAAATATTGGGTGAATAATACATTAAGTGTGCTTACAGTTCACAAGTCAGACTAGGAAAGTTTTGAAAAGGTGGGAGGTTTTTTTTTGTTTGATTTAAAAAAAAAAAAAAAAAGCCTTACCTCTGGTTCAGATTTTACTTCTGATTTTGCTTGGCCCACTGGTGTGATTGCTTTAGCTTTCATCTCAGGCCTTCCCTGTGAGTTTCCAACACCAGCTACAGACTTGGTGGCAGACATCGTGCTGGTAATGGGTTTGACCTGAGCAGCTGGGGTAGAGGTTCGCCTGTTGTTGCTCATTTCCATAGCATGTGATGGTGCTATTGGCAACTCACGCAAGTTACTATTTCTTGGAGCAGTTGACTGTAGCTGCTGATTTGGACGCTTGACAATATTTTGTGACGGTGTATTCTGAAAAGCAGAAAATTAAAAAACTGCAGACTTTCACTACAAAACAGACTAAAGCATTTCCTGTTTCACATTTTCATGATTTAGTTAAGTTGGGGGAAAAAAAGCTTTTCGAAAAGGCACAATATTTTCAACGTGAGAAGAAAAATTACAGAAATGAGAACATTTTAACAATGGTTTTATTTTTCTTTAATTAAAAGCAAAACAATCTCATTTGTTTAACATCTTTCTCAGAAATTTGTTTCGCTGTGTGATTTATTTTCCTAATCACAGCAATTATTTTCAACTACAGTCACATTGTCTTGAGCACTGCTTCAGACTGTTGTGCTACCCCAACCTACCGAGCAATAGAATATGCTGCACTGGAGCAAACTCACAAGACATGAGTGGCACTATCTGAACCAGAAAGCTTATTAGCAGTGGTACAGAGAGGCCTTCAAATTGAAAGACAGTGTCAGAGAACTGGGCTCCCACACAATCACAGGCTACCAACAGTTTCAAAATCTTACTAAGCAAACCTATCCTCTAAAAATCCTTTACTGCCAGTTCTTGGTCAACTGCATCATCTCTTATTGGACTTAGATCAAGAAAAACACTGAAGACTGGAGGAGAAAAGGGAAAGATACATGTGCTATTTTTGTATGCAGATTATAAAATGATCAAGGCAGAAAAGGAGCAAGAAATGGTGAAAGAAGGTGACAGAGCAGGATGGAATGAATGGGGCTGAAAAACCACACTGGTGAGTTTTGAAACTTGTGCTTACATGCCTGTTACCCACGCAGAAGTATGCAAGGCAACACTGATGTGGTACTTACATGTCTTGGCTTCATTGGACCCTGTCGCGGCTGACACTGCATCCTGTTGTTATTTGGCTGCTGTTGCGTGGCCTGCATATGAGGCCTGAACTGTGGTTGGTTCATGGGCATCAAGGGCTGTGGTGGCCCTTGGAGATGATGATGGTGTTGCTGCTGCTGCTGCTGGTGATGGTGCTGCTGCTGCTGCTGGTGATGGTGCTGCTGAGGCTGAGGTTGTGGCTGAGGCTGTAATGGAGGATGCAAGGGACCCTTCACACAAAGAGAAAGATTATTTGGTTTTAGTTTCAAGGTAATAAACTCCTGAAAAGTAGTTCCAGCCTCCCAAGTCCTCAAAACATCTGTAAGCAGCTACGGACCAGGCTAAACCAAAAATACACTGAGTAAAAAACCAGACTAACAAACTGTGCAAGGTAGTTCTGCACTTAAACCTGTGTAAGTCAACAGCTGAAGTGGAAAAAGACAAATGCAAGGGTTCCTGCCCTCTGCCCCCTTTTCTAATGGCTTTTAAACTGTTTGGGTTTCGGTAGGTTTTTTTTCCCCTTTTGTTTTTCCCCCCAGCATCACCAGACTGCAGGATTTCCCCACGTTCAAAACACAGACACCATGAAAAGATCCCGCACAAAGCCCAGCGAACATGCAGGGCCTTCCCTCTGCATCGCCCTGCACGTCCCCGAAACATTTACCCACTGCAAGCAGCAACTCGGCTTCCTCCCTCCCGCTTTGCGGGAGAGCCTCCGGCTCCCCGCCGGGCTCCGCAGCTGAGCGGCAGAGGGCGCTCCCGCCCTGCCGCTGACTGACGGGGCCGGGGCCGCTCTCCCTACCTCTGCGGAGCTAAAGGAACCTAAGGAGGCAGGGCCGGGCTGCAGGCTCGCTATCGCAAATACGTTAGTGCTGGCAACCGGGGAGAAAATCAATCACTTTTTGAGGCACAACAATAAAGGGTTACAGGTCCATCTGCCTCATCCCTGTAATCTCAAATAATTCCACTTTAGTTAAGTTAGCCCTCTAAGTCTACAAGGCAGCACCGGGCCACTTCACACATTCCTTGTAGGCCCGTACCTGCATGCTGGGCTGGGTGTGTGCGGCGAGGAAGGGCTGTCCCGGAGCCTGCAGGAACTGCTGCCTCGGAGGCATGAACGGCCGCGGATTTGCTGAACCCGGCTGGTTGAAGTGGAGAATTCCCACAGGACCTTGAGGCTGCATGTTTGGCCGTACCGGCCGCTCTCTGGGAAACACCGGTTGTTGTCCCTGCTGATTAAACGCTGTCCCGGGCTGGCTGAACGGCATCGGATTTTGGGTAGGGACAGGATGCGCGCTATTGAGAAGCGGTGGAGGTGGCGGTGGTGGGGGGCTTCGCTGCTCAAACAAGTGATGGCTTGGAAACCTTGGATCTGTGGGAATCGGGAAAAGTACTTAAATGATAACCTCCTTGGGACACAAACACACTTGCAAAACACAAAGCTCTATTTTGATTTGGAAAAGTAACCTGAAATTTGTAGAAAGCAAAATCGTATGAGATGTTTTAATTTTAAGAGCTACCCTCAAGGTTACATTTCTCTTGCTTCTGCCACCTGTGTATAAAAGGAATTGATGCTTGAAAGATCAGCACAACTGGTAATTTGCTGGAATCAGGAATACCTTTTAAAAATTCTACTCTAATGAAATCAATGAAGGATTCCAGGGATTAGAGTTAAAACATGCAA